GGTCCACACACACACTCACACACACACACACACACACACTCACATGGTACACACACACACTCACACACACACACAGCATCTTTGTTCCAGAGTCACAGTGCAGTTATTCTTTATACTGAGAAACAGACTCTTTTAACACTGTGACTCAACTAGATCATAACAATCATAAACATATTCATCTGAGAATCACTGCTCACATGATATGAAAATAACTGTAAGAAACATTTCAAGTACTATAAAGATTTTATGGCGTCATTTTATACATTGAAAGCTGGGATTGGATCATATATGACAAACTACACTTTATCCCTTCAAAAACACTACACAAAGAGATATACAGATATATAAATATTTAAAATAAACGAGATAACCACTGGCCAAGACATTGCATGCTAAGTTATCAGTTAATGAACCATTTTATGTTGTTTTTATCGTACAAGTAACCGCTTCAAAGCTGTTAGTCAATTTTCGTTAATGAACTGCATTAAAGACCTATTTATTTTAACACTGTTTGTTTTCTGTACTATAAATTATGTGTAATTGTTTAAACAACCAAAACATGACAGCATGAGCTAAAACGTCAACACAACAAACGGGACGGATTCACGAGCAGGAAATATCGGAGATGAACCTTACTGATTGTTCGCAATTCAACAAAATAAAACAAAATTCAATTACATTTGTGAATTTTATGTTTTTGTTGATGTTTTACCGCATTTTCAACAGCCGCACTTCCACAACCCACTATGGACGGATCGACGACACTTCCGCGTTCTGAGGCGCTATGAACTCTGGACTTTGTAGTCCAAACCAATGAAACGCTTTGACTCTGTCACGTGTTCCCCAGACAGATCGGGGAGATCACAGACATATAAAATAAACAAGCAGTCTATTTCAAACGATTATTAACAGTCAATGAATAAATATATCTGTCATAAGCTATATGTATTCTTCCCAAATAGAGGATGGGTGATATGACAAATTTAGATAGGAGTAGGCTAATTATATTTCACAAAAACAATATATATAACAATATATATATCTTTTTTAATTTTATCTTATTTATTAAATAATATGATAAAATGTGGAAATGACAAACAATAGAACAAATACAATATAAGATACAAAAGAAATAAACACTGCTTTAAAGATGACATATCATGAAAATCTGACTTTTCCAGGTTTTAAGTGCTAAAATCAAGTATAATCAAACCAACCAAGGAAATGTGAAAAAGATTAACCCAATCACTTTGTTTTGGAAAGCCTTTTTCTGCAAGCGTCTGAGAAAACGAGTGCGTCTGATTTCGCTCCCTTGGTGACGTGGCAAAGGGATCTCATTATAATATCACCGCCCCTTAATCTGTAAGTTTACACCAACGGCGCCATTATTGTGTTTTCGCAAGCGACAGCGGTGTACCGGCTCTAATGCCATGGCGAAAGTTTGAGCAAAACACGCTAACTGTTCTGTGTTTGGCTGCAGAGACGAGCACAGAACACTGTTTAGAGTCCCAGCCTCAGAGGAGACAACAGAGCAGTGCATTTATTGATTTATTTACTGTATATTGCTGCTGCCACACAGATCTAAAATAAACATGCCATTTATTTCCCAGCTGTTTACCTTCACAGACATAACCCACTGTTTTTCACACTCACACACACACACACACACACACTCACATGGTACACACACACACTCACACACACACACAGCATCTTTGTTCCAGAGTCACAGTGCAGTTATTCTTTATACTGAGAAACAGACTCTTTTAACACTGTGACTCAACTAGATCATAACAATCATAAACATATTCATCTGAGAATCACTGCTCACATGATATGAAAATAACTGTAAGAAACATTTCAAGTACTATAAAGATTTTATGGCGTCATTTTATACATTGAAAGCTGGGATTGGATCATATATGACAAACTACACTTTATCCCTTCAAAAACACTACACAAAGAGATATACAGATATATAAATATTTAAAATAAACGAGATAACCACTGGCCAAGACATTGCATGCTAAGTTATCAGTTAATGAACCATTTTATGTTGTTTTTATCGTACAAGTAACCGCTTCAAAGCTGTTAGTCAATTTTCGTTAATGAACTGCATTAAAGACCTATTTATTTTAACACTGTTTGTTTTCTGTACTATAAATTATGTGTAATTGTTTAAACAACCAAAACATGACAGCATGAGCTAAAACGTCAACACAACAAACGGGACGGATTCACGAGCAGGAAATATCGGAGATGAACCTTACTGATTGTTCGCAATTCAACAAAATAAAACAAAATTCAATTACATTTGTGAATTTTATGTTTTTGTTGATGTTTTACCGCATTTTCAACAGCCGCACTTCCACAACCCACTATGGACGGATCGACGACACTTCCGCGTTCTGAGGCGCTATGAACTCTGGACTTTGTAGTCCAAACCAATGAAACGCTTTGACTCTGTCACGTGTTCCCCAGACAGATCGGGGAGATCACAGACATATAAAATAAACAAGCAGTCTATTTCAAACGATTATTAACAGTTAATGAATAAATATATCTGTCATAAGCTATATGTATTCTTCCCAAATAGAGGATGGGTGATATGACAAATTTAGATAGGAGTAGGCTAATTATATTTCCCAAAAACAATATATATAACAATATATTTTTATTTTATTTTATCTTATTTAAAGATCTTTATCTTAATTGCGCTCCTTCCTGCAAAAAAATTATCTCTATGAAGAATTTCAGTCAGGTTTCAGGCCCCACCATAGCACAGAAACTGCACTTGTTAAAATTACAAATGACTTGCTTCTTGCGTCAGACCAAGGCTGTATCTCATTGCTAGTTTTACTTGATCTTAGTGCTGCGTTCGACACTATAGATCATGACATACTCATAGATAGTTTACAAAACTATACAGGTATTCAAGGGCAGGCTTTAAGATGGTTTAGATCATACCTGTCCGATCGCTACCACTTTGTTCATTTAAATGGGGAGTCATCTCAATTATCACCAGGTCCACACACACACTCACACACACACACACACACACACTCACATGGTACACACACACACTCACACACACACACAGCATCTTTGTTCCAGAGTCACAGTGCAGTTATTCTTTATACTGAGAAACAGACTCTTTTAACACTGTGACTCAACTAGATCATAACAATCATAAACATATTCATCTGAGAATCACTGCTCACATGATATGAAAATAACTGTAAGAAACATTTGAAGTACTATAAAGATTTTATGGCGTCTTTTTATACATTGAAAGCTGGGATTGGATCATATATGACAAACTACACTTTATTCCTTCAAAAACACTACACGAAGAGATATACAGATATATAAATATTTGAAATAAATGAGATAATCACTGGCCAAGACATTGCATGCTAAGTTATCAGTTAATGAACCATTTTATGTTGTTTTTATCGTACAAGTAACCGCTTCAAAGCTGTTAGTCAATTTTCGTTAATGAACTGCATTAAAGACCTATTTATTTTAACACTGTTTGTTTTCTGTTTTATAACCAATCACACACGACTCTGTTGAGCTTAGGAATGCAGTAGCCAATCAGAGGCGTTCAGATCAGTCATCGCTGAAACCCCAGAGTTGTTTTCAGACTGAAACTCGCGAATTCCCTCATCATAAGCAACAAAGTGCTGATGTACATACGATGTAAGTTAGAGATTCATTTATCATACTGTGTATGGACAGCTTCATTGATTATGAGAGGAGTTATGAGTGCTTAAACACTAGCTAGACTGAATGCTCATTTAGAGTGTGTTCTTTCACTGCATGATTCAGTATCATAAAATGCATTTAGAATGCTCCCAAAATTCAAGATATGGGGGCAGAAAATGTATATATTTATATCATTTCATATAGTTGATCAATATCACACGAAGAGTGACATTTTTTCGCAAAAATCACAAATGTGAAATTGATTTTATACAACAGTTCAATAATCAAGAAGTTAATATTAAGAGAATTGCGTTTTAGACACCACATTGCCTATTTTTTGCTCTATTTCACCAACAAAAATGGTCCTAAACAAAGCCACAGCACTGCTCTGCGTCTCTGAGCAACATGACAGTGATTCGTTCCTGAATGAATCAACCATTTAAATGATTCGATTCGATTCAATTGCAATGACTCACTTATTAACGGTGACTTGCTGCCACCTACTGGCCAGTTTTAATTTCACATTTAAAGTGCCTTTTTATATATTTTTTAAAAATCATTTCAAATATCAGTATTCAACGTTTTAAGATTAAAATATCAAAACATTATTTATGCATTTGTAACTGCAGGTTAGAGCATTCATGCCTTGCATTAAACAGTGTGTGCATCTAAATGCCACTTCAGACGCAGCTTCTGTGTTTCCTCTGCATTGCATGAATTTTGTTGATAATGATTTTATTTGTTTGGTAACTGCCCCAAATGTCTTATTATTGTAATAATAATCCCCCCCTAGAGCTTTGACACAATTCAAACACTGGTTTTAGACCGTTGAAGCACATTATGCTGTGAACTGAACTGGGGATCGCATGCAGCCTGAGAGACCATTTTCTGCACACGCCTTTCTGCCTTATTGCCATAAATAACTCATTTAAGATCGAGCGCTGCTTAACTTCTTATTCCTGTGCATTCTTTATTGCTTTAAGAAGTCAAACATTCCAAGCAGTCTTGTACTGTGCAGCTGTATTAACATACTGAGAAAGCAAAATCACAATAAACATTTGATATAGTTATATTGGCCATCCACATTTTCTAGTGATGTTATGCCGGATACCAAGTCTTCGAAGCTTGCATCGAAAATATCTTGTACTTCCAGATGGAGCTCTGTATCGAGGCTTGTATGGTTTTAGTGAAGTGATGGGACGATTGATACCGAGGCTCCGATGCTCCGACGCAGTTTTCAAAGCACTATTGTATCACACACTGTCGCGATGTTTCGTTAGATAGGCTGGAGAAACCGAGTCTGACCACCAGATGTCGCTAACGCGCACGGTGTTAAAAGCTTCGAGTAATGAACCGTTTTTCGGCACAATTTCAAGACAGCCTCAAACGGTTCAGAAAGCCTCGATTTCCCATCACTAGTGACATTCAAAGCCTTTTTTGATTGAATTGCTGAATCAGTTTGAAGGCAGTTGAAAAACCTGATGGTGACAGGAAGGAACTTTTATATCTGTGCTGTGGTGCATCATGGGAGATGGGAGAAACCACATTTGGAGGATGATGGGGATTGTTTGTTGTTTGAAAATCAAAAAGTCTTACAGTGAAGAAATATGTTTACATGGCTGTGAAATAATAATTTTGTTGATTAAGTTAGGTACAAATTGCATGTATGACTTAAGCCTTGTTAATTGGAATATTTAATTCCTGGTTGCTTGTCAATGGTTGTGCTCATGGGTATAAATAGCCAGCATCTGAAGCTTGTGAAGTTGGAGAGCTGAAGTGGAGAGCTGAGATGGCAGTTGGAGAGCTGAAGCGTTTTTACGATTAAGAAATCTTGTTTCATTTTGTTTAGTTTTTCGCTTGTTCTTTGTTTGTCTTTTTGTGCTTTAATATATTAGCATTTACAAAGGTAGCCAATAGAAAATTAATAGAGAGTTTGACTATCAATCGCTGCTGGAGGCGGGAAAACTGCCTCGGGAAAATAACTGCAGTTTCAGCATGTGTTTATATATATATATATTTTTATGCTTGTGCTTCTTTAGTCTTCATCGCTGGTATTTATTATTATTTTTTTGC